CGGAATTTGTAGGATTGAATTTCCTTTTTTTTTTTCCGTCTTTTTTCAGCTTTTGATTTGCAAAAATGTAAGGAATATAAAGGATTGTGCGTTTGCCGGGAGTCGAACCCGGGTCTATTGCTTGGAAGGCAATTATCCTAACCGTTGGACTACAAACGCTTTGTTGTTGCTGACTTGCTATATGTAAATAATTGACAAATTGAGTATGTAGTCCTTTTTAGATTTATTCTGTTAATTTCTTTCCCCCGCAAATAAATGTTATAAATTTTAGTTCATATTTTCAATATATATGTGTTTGGTAGTAAATTTAAAAAGTTATTTAATGTGTTTTAGTAATATATTTGAAAAGTAGTAACAATTACCGACGGTTTAGATCAATCTAAAATATTATTAATTAATTAATTAATTAATTTACATATATACTTTCTTATAATTATTATTTTACAATATTATGTAATTCGTAAAATATTATGTTTTACTTATTTTAATAAAAATGAACTGAGTAGTTTATAACATAGAACTAGTATATTTATGGTTGCTTTTATCTTTTTAATTGTAATTCTTATTTATTTTAAAGTTTCAAATTTAAAATCTTAAAATTTCTAAACATCACTATCAAAACAAATCAACCAAATGAATATTTGCTAAATATTTTTTATTTAATGAATATGAAAAAAAATAAAATTACATAACAAACAAACCCTTAATTTTGGAAGGGTCTTCAACATTTTAGGAAATCTTTTCTATTCGTAGAGTTTTTTTTTTAATAGCTTTTACGTGGATTTACACGACCATAGCAGTGGGAAGAAATCAGAAATTTTGGTGGGTGAAGTAATAGATTTTTTCTCAGCTTCAAGCTTAACTATGAAGATCTCTAAGGTAAATTGTGACGGTAACAAGAGTTTATTATCAATTTTCTTGATCCGGCAAATGTGCTTCTCAATAGCCTCAGATGGCGAACTTCTTGATGGACTACAACGAAGAGCGGAAGTTCAAGAATGTTCGTACGAGATGTGGAAGAAGTAGCAATTTTCCAGAGATACCTATAATTCAATCTCACTAAAATCAAATTACAAATATTAGAAAGTCGAGGGAAAATCGTCTAAGTAGTTAGAAGTATAAGAAATTAATTAGTTTTATTTTGTAATTTAATAGGGTAGAGGGATATTTATTTGACTTTTTGAAACATAATCTACTAAATTTTCAATTATGTAGATAGAGATTTACACCATATGAGTTGTGTAAGGGCCAGTCGATTCTTGGATAATAAAAAATGGAGACTTGACATATTGGTAGACTCGTGAAACAAGGGTGGACGGATGTGGATGAGTAAATATAGAAATTGCCCCTCCATAATTTTCATGAAATAGGTATTGGTTATTATTGAGAATTATAACACTTATGACCATTTCTTATTAGATTGCCTTGAATTTGGCTATTATTCAAAATTTTCCTTAATTTTTTGTTCAATTTGTATGACTCATATCGGTCTAATTTATGTAATCAAATGGTCATAAAAAAGGATAGAATTATCATTACTTTTATCTTCTAATATTTTAAATTTAAATGTATTTGTCAAATTTAATAATATATAATTTCATAATTAATTTAAGATTGATGCCACAATTTGTAACTGATTAAAATTTAGTCCATATGACATAGGTGGATTGGATTTCATCATGTTAACTAATATCACATAGATTTTCACTAAACTATTGGTACTTTATCCGGTTGAATCTCTCACAAGAATCAATGGTAACGATATGCTTCCCCACAATAATCTAATATTTTAGAAACTATGGAGAATATTTATAATAATTAAACTTTAATCTAAAACACCTTTAAGCTCCTAGGTAAAGTAATTATTTAATATGTGACCTAACAAAATAAACCATTTGAATTCAAATTTCTACAATGCAAAATACTGTCAAGCTATCAAGGTCGGCCACGTGGCAACTGATCAACTGACGAGGTGCGAGCTCATGCAAGGTAGGACCTGAAAAAGAAAGTGAACACTCCGACGTTCAAATCAGTATAAGTGTGAGCTCAAATAAATCATTCTTGGAGTAGAATTTCATACTTGAGTA